TCATTTTAAAAAGACATATTTGAGGAGGAAGCATAAAAATTTACTTCATGTTAAATAGTAGAGGTGATCAACATTACCAGTGAAATCTACCTGATGACTATATCTATACTCAGGTACTAAGGATCCGAGGGTAACCTACTGTGACAAGTAATAATCAGATACATAGAGGTTAAAGGCATATGTACAAACATCTAAGTGTTAGTAGCATTAAAAATGTAGCTTTCCGTAGTGTTCTTTTGCATTTGCTTACTTAGTATTTTGTAAACCCAAGATCTTACCTTATAGCCCAAGCTGGCCTCAAACTCACTATCCTCCTGCCTCAGCTTCTCAAGTGCAGGCATTACTGGCATGTACGGGCCAAGATGCCCATGCTAAGAATATTCTTTTTTTAAAAAAAAAAAAAAAAAACTTGAAAAAAAAAAAAATAAATAAATAAAAAGAGATGGCCATGTAACTCAGTGGTAGAATACTTGCTTAGCTCACAGGAAGCCCCAGGTTGAATCTCTAGTAACACCCCCAACCCCTCAAAAAAAGAAAAAAGAACTTATAAGGAGCTACAACTCCAGTATCTACCTTTAGCTAGATAATTTACGTAAAAAGAAATTATAGCCAGAAATACTGATGTGTCTAAGGATTGAGTCAAAGACTATTAATATTAAATTCACCCTAAAATGCAAGTTGGAGCTAAACATTTTCCCATTGCTCCATGATCTTTTACACATAGCTGTAAGCATGAAATACCACACAGATATCTACACATAGACACATCACAACCAGAAAAATAAATCATGTTATTAATATTTTATTGTTAGTTATATGACATATTTATCTTTTTTTTTTTGTCTTATTGAGACAGGGTCTCCCGGTAGCCCCAATTGGCCTGAAGATCAGACTGGCCTTGAACTCAAGAGATCTGCCTGCCTCTGTCTCTGCCTCCTCCTGAGTGCTGGGATTAAAGGCATGCACCACCATGCCTGGCTATGTGATATATTTAAACAAAATATATTATTAATTTCACCTTTTTACTTTAAACTTTTTTAGGTGGTGCTGGGTACTGAGCCTTGTACATTCAAGGCAAACACTACCGCTAGCTCCACCTTTACCTTTTAAAATATAACTACTAAAAAAATGTTAATTATGTAGCTGGCTTATACTGTACTTCTACTAAACAGTACAGTTGTATATTCATTTTATCAAGACACTTCTGAGATATCTGACTCAGTTCTTTATCTCTTTCCATTAGGAGTTCTCCACAACTACCCTTTCACTATTTTACCATTACAGGTGGTTTATATGTCACAATTTAACTTAGTTTTCCCAGTTTATAACCCAATTCCTCCTCTATAACATCCTACACTATAAATAAAACACTGAAACATTTTCATTAACCATCCTTCTCACCTGCCAGAAAATGAAATGTTCGCGGATAATATTCTTCACAGCTTCATTGCTCCACACATCACGGTTGAGGCACTGGCATGCAAAGTCTTGTACGTTTTGAATGTTTATCATCAGCCACTTATTCTGCATCTGGCCGCACTCTTTGGCCTGTAAGAGTAAAATTACACATTTGTTCAGTCTCTGTTTACTTATGTGTCTCCAAATTCAGATGCTGTCCTTTCAACATAAATACTACACATTTTCTTTTTTTGAGTTGGTGACACTATGTCACTCTGACAGGTCTGAACTCCTGATATAGACCAGGCTAGGCTAGAATTCATAGAGATCTGCCTGCCTCTGCTTCCCAGTATTAAAGGTGTGTACCAGCACCCCTAGCATTAAGTATTAAGTATTTCTTTAAGAATGACATCTAGGGCCAGGCATGGTGGCTCATACCTTTAATTCCAGCCCTTGGGAGGCAGAAGCAGGCGGATCTTTGTGAGTTCCAAGGCCAGCTGGGGCTACATGGAGACCCTGTCTCAAAATACCAAAAAATATAAATTAAAATAAAAGAATGACATCTAGGGACTGGAAAGGAAAGATGGTTCAGCAGTTAAGGGCACTGGCTGCTCTTACAGAGGACCTAGGTTCAGTTCCCAGCACCTAATGGCAGCTAACAACCATTCATCATTCATAACTCCAGTTTCATGGGATCCAACACCCTATTTCTGATTTCTGTGGGACTGCATGATGAAAGGGCACTTATTTATATGTATGCAATACACTCACATACATAAAATAAAAATAAGAGAGAATGATATCTAGTCTCTTCTGAATATGACAGGACCGTTGCACTTAGGAACTTACTGCAGCTGTGGGTACCTACACAAGATCAAGTCAGTCAACATTCTGGAATGGAAGGGAGAGGGGCTCAGGAGTTCTCTTGAAGGGTGTGACCTCTAGTAGATCCTACAATCTTAAGATCAACATTTCACATAATTCTATCCTCTTCAACCCACATTAACAAAAACATCTCTTCTTATAAACGGAAATGACATGTGTATATGACTATATACCATTTTTTCTCTTTCTGAGATAGAGTCTCACTGTGTCACCTGGCTGGCCTGGGAATTTCAATGTAGACCAGAACTCAGTGATCCGCCTGCTTCTAGAGTGCTAGGATTAAAGGCACGAGCCACCATATCCTTTATTTTCTTTAATATCATTTTCAATGCATTTCCAAATATTTCTATTTTCATTATTAGGTATATACTATTCTATAGAATCATCCTAAATTTTTGCTTACATTTATATGTGTGTCTGTGTGTTTGTGTGTGTGTGTGTGTGTGTGTGTGTATGTGTGTGTGTACAAACAGACACACAGTGCCTATTGAGGACAGAGGACAACTTACAGGAGGTGGTTCTCTCCTTCCACTAAGTGGGTCCCAGGAATCAAACTTGGGTCATCATACTTGGCAGCAAGTGCCTTTACTCACTGAGCCATCTTGCTAGTTCACTCTAAGCATTATGCTTTGATTTACATCTAATTATTTTATAGAAGGGTGGGACTCTGAGTGTTGAAGTGTACCATGTGGAGGTCAGAGGATAAGTTGCAAGGTAGGTTCTCTCCTTCCATGTGGGTACGAGGGATCAAACTCAGGTTATCAGAATTGGAAATAAATGCCTCTAACTGCTGAGCCATCCTACTGACCTCACTCTAAACTTTTTAATAAAAGCTCCCAAGCATATTTTCCTCTTAAGGGGAGATCTGCCTGCCTCTGCCTCCTGAGTACTAGGATTAAAGGCATGTGCCACCATGCCAGGGTTCAGAGGAGATTTTTAAAAGAGGGAAGAGAGCAGGGATGTAGCTCAGTTGGTAGAATGTTTGTTTAGCAGAAAGGAAGCCCTCTTCTGGCCTCTAAGGGCACCAGGCATACACATGGTGCACATACATACATGCAAGCATTAAAAAAAAAAAAAAGAAATCAACCTTTAAAGGGCTGGAGGGATGGCGCAGTGGTTAAGAGCTGACTGCTCTTGCAGAGGACCTGGGTTCGATTCCCAGCATCCACATGGCAGCTACAAACCATCCTTAACTCCAGTTCTAGGGGAATCCAACGCCTGCTTCTGACCTCCACAGCACTGCACAACATGGGTGCACTCACATACATGCAGGCAATACACTCATACACATAAAAATAATAAATAAAATATTAAAAAAAAAATCAACCTTTAAAACAACCTAATCACAGGCTGGAGAGATGGCTCAGCAGTTAAGAACACTGGTTGTTCTTGAAGAAGACCCGGGTTGGAATCCCAGTATCCACATGGCACTAACAACAGTCCGTAACTCTAGTTCCAGGGGATCCAACAGCTTCTTCTGTCCTCCCCAGGCATTGAACGACACGAATGTACCTACCTATATGCAGGCAATACATAATACACATAAAATAAAAATGAGTGAAAAATAAAAAATATGAAAAAAAAAACAAAAACAAAAAAACAACCTAATCAGGCCAGGTGTGGTGGCACACGCCTTTAATCCCAGAACTTGGGAGGCCGAGGCAGGCGGAGCTCTGTGAGTTCAAGGCCAGCCTGGTCTACATAGTGAGTTCCAGGACAGCTGGGGCTACAGGAGACCCTGTCTCAAAAAGAACAACAACAACAAAAAAAACCTAATCAGAGCCAGGCATGTTGGTGCACACCTTTAATCACAGCATGGGGGCAGGGGTAGGGAAGAAGGTTGGGCATGTTGGGGGGCTGGCAGAAACAGGCAGATCTCTGTGAGTTCAAGGCCATCCTGATCTACATAGTGAGTTCCAGGTCAGCTGGGACCACAGGGAGACCCTGACTCAAAAAGACTAAACACACACACACACACACACACACACACACACACACACACATACAAAAAAACACAAAAAATAAACAAATAAACAAAAACAACCTAATCAGGCTGGGAGATGGCTCAGTGGGTTAAGAGCACTGGCTGGCTGCTCTTGCAGAAGGCCTTGGTTCGATTTCTAGCACCCACATGGAAGCTAACAACTGTCTGTAACTACACTTCCAGGGAAATCCTACACCCCCTTCTGACCTCCATGGGCCTTACACAACATGGGCGCACTTACACAAATGTAGGCAGTACACTCACTCATACACATAAAAATTTAAAAAAACAACCTAATCAAGTGCATTCCTCTTATCCCAATACTTGGGAGGCAGAGGCAGGCAGATCTCTAAGATCAAATCCAGCCTAGTCTATACATCGAGTTCCAGGCCAGCTGGGGCTACAGGGAGACCCTGTCTCAATCAATCAGTCACACTTAGAATATTAGCCACTCTCCATTTTTTAAAAGATTTATTTTTATTTTATGTTTATGTATGAGTACTTGCATGTATGTGTAGCATGTGAGTGCCTGGTGCCAGGGGAGGCCAGAAGAGGGTATTGAATCCCCATGGAACTTGAATTACAAAGAGTTGTAAGCCTCCCAATGTGAGTGCTAGGAACCAAACCTGGGTCCTCTAAAAGAGCAGCAAGTACTTTTAACTGATACGCCATCTCTCCAGTTCCAAAATAGTATCTTTCTAAATAATATGCTGCTTTATAAGGCTCACCTGAACTACAACTGTATTTTCTTTAGCTATGCCATCTTACAAAAAAACCCCATCTTTTTAAAATCCGGGTTGAGCAGTCCTGATTACAATTTTTTTTCGCTTTCTCTTTGGACATAAGCTCTTGAGTAGTGGCTTCCAAAGAAATTAAAGTGAAGAAACACATATGTGGACAAGTCGTTCGTATATATGGTAGAAATGTGTTTCTTAGGCACATTACAGGCTTTAACATAATTACTGTTCACAGTAGAGCTGTGAACATAATTAATGTTCACAGTAGAGCTCTAATTATATGTTTATAACTCAATATATAGGGACTAGAGAGATGGCTCAGTAGTAAAGGCACTCTGGCAGAAGACCCAGGTTCAGTTCCCTACAGCAGCTAACAACCATCCATAACATCAGTTAAAGGGTATCTGATGCCCTCTTCTGACCACTGTGGACACTGTGCACTTACACACATACACACACACATACTGGACAAAGGCAAAATATATAACAGATACAGCAATGTTATTTTTTGGTGCTTTTTATTTATTGTCTCTTACTATAGACTATAAATTTGTTTATGGAATGACATAGTACAGTTTTCTTACCACTATCTGAGGCAGAAACACATTTCCCCTGTCACTCTGAGACTCTCCCAATTTTATGAATTTTGATGCAACTAGGTATGATCAGTTGCCAATTTCTAGTCAACAGGATGTGAGAAGTGATGCTTACAACCTACAAGGCACATGCCCTTAGAGCTTCCCTCCCTCCATGCCAGCTACAATGCAAACACGGTAGTAAGTCAACTTGAATCATGTAGACAAAAAACAAGCAAGATCTCTGGTATGACACAACAGTCAGGAACAAAACCATCGTACTGCCTAGGATTAGAGAGAGTAGATCATACTAATAGCTTTATACATTATGTTTTAAGTTACTGTATTTTCCCCCCATATTTTTCTCACATGCATTATAGTTTTATTTTTAAATATTTTATTATTTTTGTTTTATGTATATGAATGTATTGCTTGCATGTATGTAAGTGCACACGAGTTGTACAATGCCCACAGAGGACAGAAGAGGCCATCGGATCCCCTGGAACTGGAGTTAAGGACAGTTGTTAGCTGCCATGTAGGTGCTGGGATTCGAACCTGGACCTTTGCAAGAACAACCAGTGTTCTTAACCATTCAGCCATCTCTCTAGCCCGATGCATTATAATTTTAATGACAATAAATAAAATCCATCATCTAAAACATGGCACTACAACAGAAGGCCCCAATATTTATTGAATAAGTGAATTCCTTTTTCTTTGGCTAGCAGGAGCCAGAAAGAACTGCTGATCATTATCTCTAAAAATAAAATAAAATAATGGACATGGCATTAATCATAAAGAAATGTCTAACTTTTCAAGGAATGAATGTATGTATCATTTAAAAACTTGTAGACAGGGCTGGAGAGATGGCTCAGCGGTTAAGAGCACTTGCTTGCTGTTGCAGAGGATCCAGGTTTGATTCCCAGCACCCACATGGAGGCTAAAACTGTCCTTAACTCCAATTCTCAGGGA